TTTTTCATTTGTGTACGTTAAGTCCTACTGTTGCAGAGGCTGCTGCCACACCAGTTGTTTTCATCTGCATTTGTTGGTGTGTGCGGGATAGAAAAGCTAGGTCGTCTACCAAGTCCGAATCGTCTAGTTGATTCGAAGCTGTCCAGTTTATTCTGTTTTCTGTCTTTTAACTTCTGACCAGATGGATTCAAACGTTCTAGTACGCGTTATATCATGAATCTAATCTATATTTATAACAAACTCAAAGAAGCTTCGTACACTATATTGAATAGCGTACTTTGGAACAGCGTGATAAAACCTGGCTCAGTGAATTGTTTTCTTCAATAAGGCAGAAGATTGGAAGTCTTTTTCGCCACTCTGTTAGTCAACGAATTCCAATGCGATTAATGCCGACCTATTATACTTCTGTTTAATGACTCTAGGATTTTCTTAAACGTGGTCCATGAACTGTGGGGTTGAGCCCTCCATAATCAAAATGACCAAGGTGTTAAAACTCATATAAATCAAAAGAATTAAAACCAACCGAACCCGAAGTCTTAAAATGATATGAAGATCAGCGTTTCTTCCGTTTCGCTGTTCTCTCCAACCGTTTACCTTCAAGACCTGACCACCTACAAGCAGATAAAGATAGTGACAAATCAGGAGCCTTCAACGACAGACTGTTTCCTTTGTTCTCCTTAGTTTCAAAGGTCATGGAAAGTCCGCAAAGAGTCTCTCGGCAGATCTTTATTCAACAAATCTTCTCCACCGAAAAAATTACGTAGCACTAGCCTGTCAACCACTTTTAATCTCTAGACCCTGTAGCTGAAGATCAGCCATCTTGTTCAAGCAAATCTTCGAGACGTCTCAAGACATCCGCTAGTGTTAGTCATGGAATTCCGAACCCAAGGGGTACATTAGTGCGATGCGTAAGTGTTAAACAAAGTGGCCTATATATTACTTACGAGGAAAGCCACAGGTCAGAAGAATCCATTTAATCCATGTGCTCAGTTTTCAATGACATACAGAGTTCAGCAATAGCCCTATCTCTTAACCACTCATCTTTCTAGCTTCTCATAACAACTTACCTGCTACTTTAGACTCGCATTCTCTGCTGTACTCAGATGATTTTTAGGTCTGAAAGAAAATTCTTAACCCAGTGATATCTTGACTTCCAATAAAGACTCTATGACAACAGTCACTTGCTCCCTCTCAATGCCAGTGAACCCAGAATATGAGTGGTGAACACTAGTGTTACTATATCCACCACGTACTTTCTGAGTGGTTCCAGTATCCTACTCTTAACCCCCGCAAAGGACCTGAGCAACACTGTGTGGAATACTCTAGTTGTCTCTTCTAAATTCGTTGGCCAAAAAAGTATACTTTATGCCCGAGCTTCTTTCCAGAACATTAAGTAGCCTGAACCTGGGGTTATTTAAAATTGTTTTCTGTGTTCAGTCGAAACCTCATCTGTTGAAGATTATATGAATAGTTCTTCCGTCGAACTGACCAAAAACGCGGTTCAGTGTAACCAGTGCAATGTTTGCTTGGAAAGAATTTTTGTCGCAGTCAGCTTAAGACTTCAAATCGTGGGGTACCAATATTCCTAGATCTTTTTCGATTTGGGATGCCTCTAAGGGAGGAGGTTGCCTAATTTTAACTGTAGTCTGTAACGCGTCACAAATTGACTACTTTAGACTTTGAAGTGGTAAAGGTAAGTCCGTTGTCATCGGCTCAACTTCAAAATCGAGTCAGATCCTCATGAAGTGCTAGTATATCTATCTCCAAACTTTCACATAATCAGCGAAAGTAATGAATCTGACGATGCCTGTTGTGGAAGATCGTTTATATAAATCAAGAGAAGAAGAGGACTCAGTGCTGAACCTTGTGGAATCCTACTTGGATATTCCATAGCCTGAGAGAAAGCGAAGTCAACCTTGACCTCAAAATGTCGGTGTTTTAGATATGAAGTGGGCCATTCAATTAAAAGTGATTTGATACCCAATCGTTCGAGCTTATAAATAAGCTATATATGGTTGGCTCTATCAAAAGCTTTTGAGAAGTCAGGGTAAACGACATTGCCCGTGAGATCAAGGATGGTTGTCCATCTGTCCACCGCGGTCAGCAGGTTGGTTATTCAAGAGTGACCTATTCTGAAGGGTGAAAAGAAGTTTATGGATGACAAATAGTCGTGTATACTGTCGCATATTAAGGACTCCATGATTTTTGAGAGTATAGAGTAGGGCTACCGGTCGGTAGCTTGAAGGTTCGCTGCGTCGACCTCCTTTGAAAATGGGCGTGATATGAGCTGGTTTCCAATTTTTCGGTAATGTGCCTCGGCTTAGTGAATTTAAGAACAGCACGTTAAGCGTTGTTGCCAAGATTGAAGCTGTTTCCTCCGTATATCAGAATAGACCATATCCAGGTCAGGAGAAGTGTCTTTTTCAGGTGTTGGAGTTTCCGGTACTTCAAGCGCTCAGGTTCACTTCGGAAAGTTCTGTGCAGTTGCAGATGAAGCTTTCGCCAATATAGTTAATGTGGGCCGGTTTCGATGTCCTGGAGTACTGTTCGACCAAAAGATTAGCGGCGTCACCGTCGTCGTTAGTCGGACCTGACAGTTAGGGAACACTATTCCTGTTATTCTGTTATTGCGAAATAACAACATCCCGGGTATCCTCAACTCATGTATGTAAATTGAGAAGATACCTATGTTTCATATGGTCCTATCAGACGAGCATTATTATCATTGTTGAGTTCACGCAGCTCGTCCACTTTATTCGATAAACTCACGACGTTAATATGTAGAACTATGGTCGATCAACTCCAGTCCATTCAATCCATTGTTCGCGCCTTCTCCATTGTTAGGTATTTCCCCGAGTTAAATATTGAATATCTATTTTCTGAGTAGTCTCGTGTTCACAGCTTTGTGGATTGTGTGGCTATTGTCCAATGCCACTACAAATATATAAGCAGTTTATGCTTTCAATTTGAAACGCGTGAGCTTCCTCGTCTTTTGTATCTGTACAAGTTTCATGTGGCCTACCTTTACAGGGTCTTCCGAGTTGGTAGCCCCTGTCCTTTCTACGTTTTTTTCATGTTCTTGACAGTCCACAAGTGAAATAGTCAGCTCCAACTTGCTTTTGTGCTTGATCCTGGCATCATCTGGCGTATCCGGATGTATTTGGTATGCAGTCGGCAACCGGCGTCTGTTAGAACGAAATGCTTCGAGAGTTGCAGCCGCCACATGGAAGGATGGGAAGTTTATCTTCACAAGCCGAGGTCTAGAATCCTCGTCCTTCTTGGTTAATCCCACCACTTGTTGAGTCAATGTATTTTGGGCTTAAAGGATTGATTGATAATTCATATTCCCGAATATCAGGGTTTGTGTGGTCATGGTCAGTGTTTTCTGGTACACCTTGGACAATCATACTTCATCCACGGAAAAACGTCTCGTGAGATTTCGTGGGAATGTTCTGTGCGAGACTGCGCTCGGGATACGGTATATCAGGTAGTATTCTTACATCCAAATCTGATTTGAGTAAATGACTAGCCAGTAAGAAATCCCTTACGTCGGCAGCGTTAGTAAGCGTTACACGAGGTGGACTTGGGTCATTTCGATGCATGGAGTCTTTTCCCCGAGTGAACCGTGTGACCATCTGAGGCTTTACTTTTGGAATTTTTAGCTTCTTTTTTAAATATTTCCAGGGTAACCTGTCATTTTTCTTCTGCAGGCTTAGGGGAAAGTCAGGGCTGAATTTAAAGTTCATGATCATGAGAGAATCATCGCGAACCGTTATTGTTTTCACAGGTTTCCGGGCACGTTCAGGTTGAAGACTTTGTTTTATGGTTGGAGTGCGTTTCAGATTCCTATGCTGTTTGCTGAATGGTTGGGCAATCTTGGGGGTAGACTATGCGACCAAATCACCAGTTGATTTCACTAGACAGTGACATCTGGTCCATCTTAACTTTGTTGACGGAGTTCAATCGTCTACAGAGTTTTTGGAGACCGCCGTTGCATTCAGGGATCCTATGCTGGGGGACCCAGATTTGCTTGGGGAGTCTGCTATCGTCGATGTTATGATGGTACCGAGCTTCAGCATATCCTCACTAGTGTTGTTGCAGGCTAGCGTTGTAGAAGTCCCTCTTGTCTTCACTGAGTGTCTTTGTGTGCTTATTCGTTTTGAGACTGCGTTTTTCCGGGACTGCTGACAACTTGATCCACAGGTTTGTCATAAGAATAATGATTTTGCCCAGCGAAACCTCAAGGTTCACGTTACACATGCCACATACCCACCTATGATCCGACTTACTAAGTCTGTTGTAGCTGTGACATCTTTAACGTAATGATGATAACAATGTGATTTTTAAACTTAGATAGCAATCATATTAAGAAGTTTTAGTAGCTGATTAGGTGAGGAAAATAAGTATGTAGTGGTAAGTGAATCCACAAAATCAATAGCTGGCCGCATTAGTTTATTGGACTCACCTAGCTGAACCTCGCCGCTTCTGACTTCCGATTTGACTGGGTTGACCCATATCAGTTGTAAAAGAAATAATTGGTTAAAGTGTTGCCAAACTTGAAATACTTTAGGCATATTTAACCGCGTGTGTATCAGTATATTTAGGAACTATAATAATGTGATATGCGAATAGAGAACGAAACGGTAACGAAAAGTTTAATGGTACACTTAAACAGTGGTGCAAATTAGATGAAATTTCTGACTTACGCGAGCAATGAAAAATACTGTTCATAAAATAAACCTATGCCAGTTATCTTTGCAAAGATCTGTTGGTACTGAAGGTAATTACTCCAAGTGTTACTCTACTACAACCTCCACTTTCGATGCCTTGTTTTACCGTTGAGCTTCAGAAAGTATATAAAAGCCACCGTAATCTTCTAGTTTATAAAACGTTCTCGTAAAACGCAGATGCAGATCTTAAGAAATACATTTCGTTAGTTCAGTCAGACCAAGTTTGAGGCTTGAAGGGTAACGGCGCGGTTTGTGAACATCTTCCATACGATGACAGTCGATAGTCTTCCCGAGCCTGGATCAAGTATAACAGCTTACTGTTCTGACACTTTCATACAAGGAGATGTACTTTGTGTAGATGCGTCTAAGAAGCTGATCGTTCTGCGTACGTTGCTTGATAATTTGGAGCTGTAATGGGTGTTATTGATCTTCTAGAGAAACCCTCAAGTATCGGCAGACCTGATGAGTGTGACATACTTATTCTACGCGCTGATTACCTTAGAGATCTAAAGAGCACCAAAGAGGGGTCTCCACCAGCATGTCCTGAACTAAATATTGAGAAGGTTGGTATGTTGTAGGATTACTTATGTGCTTTTCAGATAATTGAGCGTATTCGAGTTAACGAACGTATTCAAAAGGAAAAGTTGAAGTTTTATGGCCATGATGTCCCTGTGGACGCTCGTAAACTTGCTGAATACCTGGAAACGTACATTATCAGTCGGCTTCCTAGATATGATTAATTAGTTTTTTCACTGTAGTTTGGGATAAGCCACATATTGTTGTAATGGATCATACAATCATCGGCCCTCCTTATAAGGAAAACAATGTGTCTTGTAATTCAGATACTCAACAAGCCAAATCACAAACAGATTATGTACAGAGGGTGGTACGTTTGTCATTTCTCACGTCACCGCGTCATAGGTTAGTCGGTTTTATCAAGAGCGGGTCACGGATAATAGAAGTGCAAATTGACCTAAATTTCCTTTCGAAAAATATACAGTATCTTCCATCCAGTTGTCTTTTCTTTTTTTTTCTTGGGAATTGGAGCGTGTCAATGTATTTCAAAAGTTAACCATTTGTAATGTTAGGTGATTACGTTTTCAAGCTACACAGGACTATAAAGTGGACATCTTGTCGATTGCGAATGCTAGTAAAAGTAGTGGTTATATTGGGTGGTGCAGCTGTATTGAAATAAAACATCGTCTTATAATTCCACATAATTGAAAGTTGTATGATCACCAATGTAATGGTATGAAATACAGCAGCGCAAATAACTAGTATCCAAAGTAAAATTCATTTTGCGGGAAGTATGTCGGGGCCTATCAACTATGTGTCTAACGGTTTTCTGAAATTATGAATAGCTTGTACGAGTTGCATCGGAAGCGTTAGCGTGAAGTAAATGAGTACCTGTAAAACCAATAACCTCGATAACTAAACTCAGAAACTGCATTCATGTACTTCAAAGTTATATTAAAAGATTAAGAAGTAGAGAGTTAAGCTTAAAACACAGTGCTTGTATTGAGACTGAAGTTAATAGGAACAAAGATGTAGTGTTAGGTGTTTTGTAGATAAAAGTAGTTTTGGGTTCCTAAAAATATCTATCAGGTATGTTGTGTCACAGGAAAGATGAATGATTGCAATCCAAGACGCTTTTAAATAATTTACGATAGGAAACCACTTGTTTTTCTTTAATACCGCCTGTAGCTCTTCTAGAACTACTGCCAGTTCCAAGTCCGGATAGAGTAGGAGGGTTGGGCATGGTTCAGCAACCCCATTCCATAGAAAGACCTTGCTAAAAAACGCTAACCAGATTAAACTATTTAAACTCTGCCCTGGGAGTTGAAGGAAGAATTATGACGCCCCATGATGAAAGCAGAAGTTACGAGACCGATCTCATTTTTAACAGCCAGATCAACAATTAATATAGGCACATGGAATGTCCAGATAATGTAGGAGACCGGAAGGATCAGTCAAACAGCTGTGGACATTCAGAGATACAACTTAGCGGTTCTCAAAATTAGCGAAACACATTGAACTCAAGCTGGACAGCAAAGACTAGATACGGGAGAGATACTGCTGTACTCCTGTCACAAGGAAGATAATGCTCCACACACTCAGGCATTCACTCTGATGCTATCCAATTAAGCACGAAATACACTTATAGGATGACAATCTCATGAACCCAGGATCACCAAAGAATCTTCCAAAACAAAGATGAAGGGAATCACAATGAATGTTATTCAGTGTTATGCACCAACCAATGATAGCAACGATAAGTATAAAGATCAGTTTCATGAGGGGCTTCATTTGATCATATCGAAGTGCTCAGGAAGGAACCTGACGATCCTGATAGGAGACCTAAACTCCAAAGTCGAGATGTCATGGGGCGACATGGAATGATAGAAAGGAACGAGAATGGTGAGAGATTCGCAAATCCATGCGCATCCAACAAATTGGTTATAGCCGGCTTCAGTAAAAAATCCAGAAGGTCAGTGGGAACTAAGAGAGAAGGTGAAATAGCTTCAGATACCCGCCTGGTTGTGGCCAAGATGAAACCGAAGCTAAATAAACACTGGATAGCTGGGGAAACAGCATTACAAAGGTTCACCACAGCCTTTCGTCGAGATGCTAACAAATTCAAGATAACTCATCAACAGGTTCCAAGCCTTACAAGATCTACTGAAAGACGAAACTACTACAGAGAACAACTGGAAAGGGATCCAAGAAGCACTAACTTCAACATGCTGAGAGGTTCTGAACTGCAAGAAGCATCATCATAAGGAATGGAAACCCTGGACAAGATTGGAGTAAGGAAGAATAAGAATAGATAAATTCAAGGCACAAATCAGCTTTTATCTGAAGAGGAAATTAGGGAACGACGTTGGAATTGGATAGGACATACACTGGTGAGATTATCAAAGTGTATGATGAGGCAAGCGCTCACCTGATATCGTAAAGGGAAACGAAAGAGAAGAAGGCCAAAGAACACACTTCGTCGGAATTCTGAAGCAGACATGAAAAGGATGAATAACAACTGAAAACAACTAGAGAGGACTGCTTAGGACAGAGGAGAATGCTGGTGAGTGGCCTATGCTCCTCCATGTGGGGTAACAGGTTGTTGTTATTTTCTTTTCTTGGTAATTTTAACAGCATCTGTGATGAATAGGCTAATAATAGGTGCATTTGTTAAGTCGAATCTAGTTTACTGAATATATAGGCCTTAATTTATTTCTAGACTGAGGATTTAATTTTAACTCGGCTACAGAGTTTCAATTCATTACATTTCTGGTCCGTTTCAAATTAGTAATTGAATATAAGAAAGATAAGTATTTATGTCTCTCAGTTTGATCATTGTAACATAATGAGTGCATTCTCCATCCATCTGAAGCATGCACACGATCAAATAGAGTTGACTGTGTTTTCAAAATGATCCTATTATACTTATTATTTATTTGTGGTTTATTACAATTATTATAAAAATTTCATTTCATTGTCAAACTTACATATTATGTTGAATAATAATAATAAATAGTAGTAATAATAATGGTATAGTCTATATTCCTTTATTAATTTTCGTAATTATTAATCCGTTTTTGTTTATTTGTCTACTCTACTAATTGTACATGTATTTTTATTCTATTGAAAATATCGTTACAAATCTATTCATTTATTCCCTTCTTATGAATAAATTCGATTGATGTGACTTGGTTTTTATTTGGTTATTCATTTTACATATATTACATAAATTTCTTTATGCTGATATAATAGAGAGAACTGTAAGAATATACCACATAGATTGCGAATAATTATGGGATGTTATTTGTTACAGTTTTGAATTCAGTCACCTCTCGATAATGCACGACCATCCTCCATTTCCTAAGGTGTATAAGTGTTTCACACACGATATGGTTGAACTCTACCAGTTATGACTTCGCACCAGAACCCCCGGATTTGTATTTTGAAGTTATTACCTAGTGGACATATAAATATTTTAAGTAAAGGGGCTTTGTAGAGACTTAAACTATCATAGTTTAAATCACGGATTGATCTTAGTTAAATCACTATTGAAAGCTAAGAAACACTAGATGGTTGTTTCATCCCAGTCTGGAACTCGCTTGCGGTGTCCATCCACGAATCCGCCATCAGGGATCGGATCCAGGACCTCCAGTTTTTAACAAACGTTTTAACTACAGATCACTGAGTCGGAATCCGTCTAACGATCTCCAAAAGACCCCTATACTAATAACAGTCCTATGTTTGCAAGTCACTGATTTCAAAATGCGATTCCAGGAGTTCTGGTGAGAAGCCGTAACTAGTGGAGTCCAATCATATTGGGTGTGAGATAATTATATATATATGAAATGAAAGATGGTCGCGTAATACTGCGAAGCGGTTAAAATTAAACATGTAAACCACTGAATTTCGGTTCGGCGATTTAGACCTTAATAGTTCGCTATGGATGTCAAAGGTCCTCGGTTATCGTGCTGTGGGTTCACAATTTTGTTGAGCTCCATACTCGGCTGAAATAGTTATCCAGTGCCTCACTGATTTCATTGGTGATTTAAATAAAGTCATTTCGTGATTTAACCTATCGAAATACTGTATTTTCTTCATCAGCGAACTAAATCACTGTCCATATTTGTTCCATGAAAACTACTTTTAATAAGATTTGATAATTGATTTATGAAATTCTTACGTGTTTGGGTGATCAATATCGCTCGAACTTGCTTTATCACGATCTGACATCAACCACAGAAACTCTGAATTCTCAGAACGTTCAATTTTCACAGTAATTATGACAGTCTTTTGGAACTCTAGTGCACATTCTTAACGTCATTTTATTCGTCATGGAATGTTAGAGCCTCATCTGTTACCATTCGCGAGTCACAGTCTTATCACTGACTTGGTTGACTATGTAGGTCACCATTTCCCATCGATGGTGTGGCTGGTCACTATTGACGATACGATTACCATTAATTTGAGTCAGTCTTATGCGGATCTACGCGGAGTTTGGAGGTGATTTTAATTCTATTTTGAGTTGAAGGTGTACAGCGTTATGTCGTCTTAATCTTGAATAGAACGTCTGTCAAGTACTCATCATTTTAATGTATTATAAAATTTAACTTTGGGAACTTAAACAGTAATTTAAATGCAAAATCACTCTTACTCACTGAACAAAATATCAACAATACGATCTAAATTGAATGTAAAACAGTTTTGTTATTGGATTTTATTTGTCTGCTCTCAAAATATTGCTATTAACATGAAGTATTTGGTGGTAGTCTGCAGAGAACCCTGGGGTCCATGTTTTTTACTGGTTGATTGTTGATATGATGCACTTTTAATTGATGCTGTTTGGTGGATTGAACTCACGTCACCCAGATTCACAGTCCATGATGAGTGTTCAAATTTACTGCGGAGTATCATTTCCCTTGTAGTGTCAGTTATTATGGCAAGCCCATGTACCTTATTCTAACTTCCGGACATCCTATTTTATTCATTTTACTTGAGCCATATTTTGACCTTGTCAATTATTCGCTTGTCAGTCTTGACTGTTTTTTTATATGAGCGTATATGAGTGTACATTTCATGTCACATGATTCATTGTATGTCTGTAGCTTATTTTGTCTGCCTATAAATATGGAATAACACTTGACTAAAACGGAGTTGGCATCCCAGCCATCTTCCCTGTGCGTCATTTTGCTTGGCTCTGTTTCATTCACTTCATATGCAAAATATATGTATTCAAATGCCGTTCTCGTTAATTGACTTATTTAATTCCGTTATGGACTAACGCGATCTAAGTCGACGATGATAAACGAGAATAGGTGATAACAAACATTCATACAATCTAAATGGAGTCAGATTCACGGGCCACTAAACCCTCACGATCACCAGTACATCTTGTGGTCAAGCCCCAACTAGCATGAAACCTAGGTCCATCGTTGTTTATCGAATACCTCTTACCACCTAACTTCACAACATAGAACACGCGTTGCCGAGTCACTTAGAATTCATAACTTACCTATGTATCATTTCTGTAGTTGTGCAGAATTACTTAAGACCAATCGGACTACTACTAATTCTGCTAACGTGTTAAATTACTCAGTAGGCAACCATAATTCAGTTTCATGAACTATCTTTGCTGTATATAAATCTATGTTCTGTTTAATAATCTTTTGGACTCCAAGAAAAACTAATGATAGTTTGTTTTCCTACTTACTGTTCTATAGGGCGAATGTCCTTCCTTAATACAATATCAAATAAGATTATAAATTATGGTTCATTCTAGTTGAACTACTAAATGTCCGGTTAACTGTAGAAATCAACTACTTTTAAGACGTGCTGCAGTTATCATGTATAGTACATAGATGAAAGTACAGTACTAATAAGTGATTTTTGCATTATTTACAGCAGATATATTTTTCAAAGTCTTGTAACCGATTTCTTGGAGTTATCAACGCATTTTAGAATCATTTGATTGGAGAAACAACCCAAATTTATGTGTGTGTGTGTGTGTATAAGCTTAAACTTAACACTGGGTGCTAAATAATTATCCAATAATGATGTCCAACGTTAGATTTCGTACCACGACAATAAAGGGAATATTTTGATCACTAACTAACTTGATAATAGTTCCAGACCACTTATTTCTTTGATGGTTTTGGCTACCAAATTTTATCTAACCAACCTAACTTAACGAAATTTTTCAACTAATTTATATTTAGATCATTCGAGTATCACAAAACCTACACCAATATGTTATCGTAAATTTGAACCTTGTTCTTACATATAATGTTAGGAATACTTTCGTAAAACTTATTAAAATGTTTTTTCAGCTTTATTTATCTTCCTTTTACTACTTAACCAGTCTCTTTTGTTCTATATAAATTTCAAGTATTTTGCATTTTTTCGTTTTATTTTGTATTCTACACATTGATTACTATCTTTCAATTAAGTCAAACTTATTTGGTCACCTTACGAAATGCTAACTGAATATACTACTTTGAAGATAATCAGTGATAAATTAGTCGTACAAACATTTTTCTCACTCTAATTAGTCATTATTACATGAGTGAAACGCTAGTTCTTATTTATTTTGCATTTATTGTCATTTAGACGAAAATCAATGAAGTTTATACATCAGCTGGGGGAAAAGTGTAATCAATGAAATTAAAAATTTACTAGTATGATGCACAATTAAAAGTTGATAAGATTTTTAAAAAATAAATGTTGAACTGTTAGGACTTTTATTATTAATAATGTGAGGTATTTGTTAAGCTTATTTCGTTCAAGTAAAATTCACCTTCATTTTAGCGTATTTTTACTATCGTCAACGATGACATCCTTCGCTAAATAAATATGGCGTTTAATTCAATGTCAATACAGTGCTATTTGGATTAAAACTCTGAAGTAAGTCTAAGAGAGTGACAGAATGAGCAAAAGCTTACACTGAACGATCATATACTAGTAATAAGGGTTGCTTGTATACCTTTCTGATGAATATCAATCAACAGGAAACTTATGTTCAAGGTTTCCAGCCGAGTGCATCCATCCATCTATTAAAATGTAGTCACTTTGTACAGTTCAACGCTTTTGCAGCCTTTTCAAATGATGACGGCTAGGTTGTATGTAACTAGGATATATTTGAAACCCAGCTGAACGTTTTTTTTCAGTGTTCCTCTAACCGTTTCACTTGCTTGGTTTAAAAAGTTACTAAAGGCGTATTTTATCTAGTCTTATCCAGCTCATTCTCCTTAATAAACTAAGATTTTTTTCCATCTGCTTTCTCATCCCATCAAACATCGCTTGCTACTACTGTGAAGTCACATATTTAGTTTATACTTACATTGCCTCTTCATCATGTTTGAGGCAATTTGAGACGCATTTCCACGCACGATTTATTTCGTTTAATGTTTTAAAGATTCTGTGACATTATTACATTTATCTGTAGATTTTTATACGTTATCACCACTGTTTGAGAAACGAATAAAAAAGTTCTTAGCCTAATTAAGATGGCAGTTATTTTTATGCTCTGTTAAATAAATGTAGATCTCCTCAAAGTACATCTTTAGATTACAATTATAATTGTTCACTGAAGCACATAACAACTTGATGACAGTATTTGATTAAATTTCAAGTAAACAGCATTTAAAATGAAAAAAATCCTCATTAATTCTTTCCAAAGATAATGAATAAGAATCAGTAGCTTAGTGTAAAACTGTAATTTTAACATTAAGTTGTAGCGTAAGGTAATGCTATTCACCATACCATATTATTTTTAATATGTTAAACAAAATTCAACTAGAGTCATCTAGAATTTTAGTTTTAAAACCATAAATACGTCGGTTTCATTTCCAAATAGTCATTCTTGAAGTTACAATTATAATAAAGAGATTAATCTTTTAGTTCATTTATTAAAAATCAAAATCTACAACAATGATATAGATTGAAAATGTTCTTTATAAAATATACTCAGTTTATATTTATCATACAAATAATAGTATTTCTCTTAACAACTAAAATTCACCAATCACAATTCTAATCTTTTTATTTATTTATTTATCTAACCAATAAAAAAACTTCTTTTATTTCATTCACTATATAAATATCAAATTTGTTTATATTAATTGATAATGTCAATACAATCATGTTGATCATTTAAATGTTCATTTGATTTTTACATGAATTTCATTTTATTCTATTAAAGTATAATCATGAAATCATTAACTAATTATCCATCGGATTGTTTAAAATCATTAACAAATGAAGAAATTATGGTATATAATTTTCGTGCATATGTATCACCTTTACTTGCATTTATTGGTATACCAGCAAATATTTTTGTAATTATTATATTTAATATATTAGAAAAACAACAAACATGTCGGTTTAATATATATGCAATATGGATGGCATTAGCACATTTAATACAATTAATTGTGAATACATTAATTGATGATTTTTTAGGTCGTGGTTTAAAATGGGCAACTGATTGTTATATTTGGTATCAAGTTGATTCATATTCATCATTTACATGTAAATTATTAACATATTTATCTGATGTATCTGCATTAATTGCATCATTTATTCTAATGTTATTTAGTATAGATCGTGTATGTTCAATATATTGTGCTAAACAAGTTGAACAAATATTAGATTTACGTATAGCTAAATTATCTATATTTATAATCTATGTAATTTGTTTTCTATTAAATATACCCCATTTAATTTATGCTGATTTAAAAGATGATTCAAGAGAAAAATCTAATTGTCAGTATGTTGATCCAGTGGCTGGTGGAGTAAAATATGTATTATATTTATATATTATTGGTGTTACAATATTACCGGCTATTTTAATTTTTATAATGAATATTTTAATATCATGTAAATTAAAATCAACTATAAAACGTTCAAAATTAAATGGTTATCATGATAGACAATCATATAGTGAATTAAGTAAAGTGATTACTCATTTAGCTATAAGTATTATGTTTACTTGTTTATCAATTCCATTAGTTGCATTAATGATATTACGACAAAAAGTACATTTTAATAATTATGAATTAATTTATCCAATTTATGCATATAAAATTATACAATTATCAAAATTATTTAGTTCTGTTGATTCATTTAATCATGCATTTGATTTTTTTTTATATTGGGCATTTTTACCAGTATTTAGACAAACATTATATAAACTAATTACAAATATGTGTTCAAAAATATTATGTAATTGTAATAAAAAGAGAATGATTAATCAACATCAGAATAATAATATCAGTAGTATGAATATTAGTACCAACAATAATGCTAATATTATACTAAATAATAACAGTAATCATAGACTTATCAATAGTCAGAATAACAATATTACTACGAATAATAATAATCATTATAACTATGATTTATCTGACTTACCTTGTTACTCATACTTGGACTTTCCTCTAGGATATTTTGATTTTTCTCATTGCAGTGGTCGTTGCTCTCCTCATAGTCTTTACTATTATCAACATTATCGTACTCACCGTCATCGTCGTCATCATCATTATCATCATTACCAGTATCATCAACCCCATGATCAATATTACCAGAAACGTCAACAAAAATGTTATCAACTGGAACATAGTAAACAATTAAGTTTTCATTGTATGGAAGAACTTCATGACAAACATTTCCAAAATGAACAACAATATGAGACGAAAATTTCTAGATAATCTTATTTTTTCTGGTGTTAATTAACAGATATAGATACATAGATGCACATACATTTCTCATTTTAATTTATTACACAGATTGTTTTCCTCACTGTGACTGTATTTCATAGCAATTAGCTCTGTATTGCCTATACGTAGTACGATGAATTGATGTAATGAAAAAAAAGATGTTTCGTTCTTTATTTTTCCTTTAATGGATCAAATCAAATATTATCGTACATCGTAGAAACAGCTGTGATTAGTTCACTGTACATTATATCATGGATTATAAGAATAGTCAGTATTAATTTATTTTATTTCCTTATTTATTTATTCAAATTAACAAACTCATATTTAGATTAGGTTTCAATGTTATTCATATTTTTTTTCCTACTCACCTATGATATCATTATCTTTTCAGATAGTATCGGTTTAATTTTTTTTTTAAAATCATTACTAATAGATATCAGAATGTTCAATGTTCAATTTCAGTCAATATTTCTTGTTTCTTTGAAGAGAATCTAATTGTTCTTACTTTTAAATTTTTATATTTTAATATTTAATAATATGATTATCTATTATTATTATTGTTTCAAAACTTTTTTCATCTCCATGACCACTTTTTTTTCTAATTACCATTTTGTTTTCTTTTTTCGTCTAAAAATTCAAATATGGATTCATTTGTTGGTTATTTTTTTATACTTGGTATGACTTATCATTTTTCATTATGAAATAATGTAACTGTATAATTGTTCTTTATAATGTTCTTTTTTAAAAGGTGATAATAATGAGTAAAGTTGTTAAAACTTCTAAAGTAGTATATTATACTTACAAGTGATTGAATGTCCTGGAGTATATGGATGTTATGTTCTTGAATTCCGACATTTATATGTATATACTGAAATAAATTGTTCATAGATATTCAGTTTATTTTTGAAAATTTAATTTCCATAGTACTTACTTACTTACGCCTGTTACTCCTCGTGAAGGAGTACAGGCCACTCACCAGCATTCGCCATCCAACCCTGTCCTGGGCAATCCTTTCCAGCTCTTTCCAGTTGTTATTCATTTTTTTCATATGTGATTCTATTTCCCGAAGTAATGTGTTCTTTGGCCTCCCTTTTTTCCGCTTACCTTCAGGATTCCAAGTTAGGGTTTGTCTCGTGATACAGTTTGATGATTTGCGTAATATATGTCCTATCCATTTCCATCATCTTTTCCTAATTTCCTCTTCATCTGGAAGCTGGTTTGTTTTCTCCCACGGAAGGCTACTACTGATGGTATCCGACCAATAGATGTTGAGTATCAATTTCCATAGTAAATTAGTAATAATTTGTAGCATAATTAAATGTTTGAAATGAATAAAATAGTGGTTTTTTAATAATGTATCATCAGGATTTCTAAAACAAAAGATTTTGAAGCTTTCCATTCAAGGAAAGAGCACATACTATTATTATTCAATTAAAATTTCATGATTTACAATTTATTTATTTAACATTAGGAAAAATGATCATGATTGATTGTTGTTAGTTCATATTTGTTTTATATTAAAATCAAGTAAATGTTATTCTAATAGTTGAGATCATGAGTCAATTGAATCAAGAACACCATGGAAAACCTGGAAGCACTGGATGACTGTTTCGTCCTCAGCAGTGCGCATCCAAGATCCCGCCTCGCGAGATTCGAACCCAAGACCTATCGGTCTGACGCGCGAACGCTTAACCACTAGACCACTGAGTCGTCATCCAACGGTGTTAATGTCTAACTTCAACCAATCCACGAAATTGAACAGACACACCCATCATCGTGGATGTGTACTTCTGAGCAGTCCCACAATAGAATGAAACGGCCGTCCAGTGTTTCGAGGTTTTCCATGATGGTCTAACTTCAATTGACTCGTGATCTCAACTATTAAAATTACTCTAATATTCAAAAAACTCCTTCTGATACTAAATGTTATTCATTAAAATACTATCAATTTTTAATGAAAGAATAAAATTTCATTATCAACTGTTTCAAATAACAAATAATGATACTTCACTAGTGGAGTTCTTATCAATACTGGTTAATAAGGAAAAAGAATAAAATAAAAATAAATTAAATATGGTAGTGTTATTATTGATTTATTTTTAAGTTGGCATTCTATTTGAATGACTTCAGAAACGTTTTATTATAATGTGAACTGATAACGTTCTATTACATAACATATTTCTTTTTACATTTTTTTCGCTTAAACTGTTATCGTTTATCATTTAAGTATTATGAATCCTGTTGAAAAAACAAATTACTGAAGTTTAGTGAACGAGAACACTAGTGGGGACAACTGAATGTCTTAGTAAAATCTGAGAACCGTACAGTAAATAATTCATTTGTTAAATGTCAATCAATCGTCTCAGATTTCATTGTTCCCACATCAATCATTCTCTGTTCTCGTTCTCTTTTCTTTGATTTTCTTAGCCTTCTGCCGTCAGATATTTCACTTTCGATTAATGATACATATTACTTATATCGGCTGACATTGGTAACACACACCACAATGGATTCAAAATGATCAACTACTTGATTAGTCATTTTTGTAAATAAATTAATATGTAAATTATCAGGTGGTTATTAGTAACTTTAAAAAGTTATTTATTTATGATTTCAATTAATTACGGCTCTGATAAAATATTTATCATTATTTATACATGTTCCTAACATACTATTCATATTAGGTTATTTTTTATCATATCTCAGTGATTTTATTGTATCAGTTATAGGTACTTGATACAAGAATGAATGAATCGATCACGTGGCGACCGGGGAAGAATATAATCCATTAGTTTGTAGGCATTTTGTTATAGATCTGCAAATTTAGGTTTCCTTTTCCTACAATTGAAGAACATATGGAACTCAAAAAAACTACCAAGTAATACCAAATTCAGAATCTTCAATACGAACGTCAAGACAGTTCTACTGTACGGAGCTGAAACTTGGAGAACTACCACAACTATCATAAAAAATGTACAAGTATCTATGAACAATTGTCTGCACAAGATATTCAACGTCCGTTGGTCTGATATCAGCAACATCCTATTATGGTAGCGAACAAATCAGTTTTATCTGAAGAGGAAGTTAGGAAACGATGTTGGAATTGGATACACTGGTGAAATTATCAAAGTGTATGATGAGGCAAGCGCTTACCTGATATCGTAAAGGGAAACGAAAAAGAGGAAGGCCAAAGAACACACTTTTTCGGAATTCTGAAGCAGATATGAAAAGGATGAATAACAATTGAAAACAACTAGAGAGGACTGATCAGGACAGAGGTGAATGGAGAATGCTGGTGTGTGGCCTATGCTCCTCCATGTGGGGTCACAGGTATAAGTAAGTAATTCCATATTTCTAACATTCATTTTACTATCATTCAAAAACAAACTTTATAAAACTATTTGTTATTTATGTAGTTAGGTTCTGCAAAAGAACCTAAACTTATATAATACATTGTTTCGGAAAATTCTAGTCTAGCGTTTTATGCTATTTGAATTATTTGGTCGAACATTTTAAATGGATACAAATGTATTTGTACTCTCTTTTTATCTTTACTGTTCATTTGTATTCAGAAATACCAATATATATATATATATATATATATATACAAGTGTTGCTCATGAATTTTCATGTAAAGAGTGCCCTAATCACCTACTAAATGATATTAGGTAGCACTTGCGCTATTTCCGACAATTCATTAAAGTTGAAAATGTAAAGCACTAGATCATCCCACATAGTGGGATTTGCAATAACCATTCTACCAGAGAAATTTATATTTATTAACACGTAAGATTGCTACTATTGAAGGATTATTAACTGATAATTAAACGATTCTTAAGTATTATTGTCACGAACGATAAACGTGTCGTCCATATATCTGACGAATAGGTCGAATTGATCGATCATTGAGCTTAGTTGGTCGTTTTCTAGTTTTGCCATGAAACAATCTGCTAAAATCCGATTGTTTCATGGCAAAACTAGAAAACGACCAACTAAGCTCAATGATCGATCAATTCGACCTATTCGTCAGATATATGGACGACACGTTTATCGTTTGTGACAATAATATTGATTTAGAGGATATTTTACAAACCTTTAACTCATGCCACCCTTCTATAGATTCTTAAGTACCCTTAACTTTTAGATAATTCTCTAGTTAATTTTATTCTATAATGTAGATTATCTTTCACTAAGATTTTCTGTTTATAATCGAATAGTTGAATAAATAGTATTTCCGTTTGATAAAGTTATTTCAGCTAATCAAATTCAGAATAAAGTTAAAATCGTATAATATTAAAAAGAATAATTAAAATCGAACTCTCTCATTTAAAGGGAACTAACTATATGAGACTGTAGTGACAGTTACTATGTTAAGCCCATATACTGTATTCTAACTTTCGGACATCCCATTCTATTCATTCTACTTGAGTCATACTTTGACCTTGTTATTTATTCGCTTATCAATCTAGACTGTTTTTATATGAGCGTACATGTGTGTGCCCTTCTTATCCCATTGATCACATGTCTGTAGCTTTATTTTGTCTGACTATAAATATTGAGTAACGCTTGACTTAAGGGGAGTTGGCTTACCAGCCATCTCCACTGCACTCCTTTTTACTTGGCTTCACCGTGTGCTTGCTTGCTGTATGCTTGCGGATTTTTATTAATCATTAACAATAAATTATCTCTACAACTGGTGTTCAGGCTTCTGAATAATCTCGAGTAAATCCGTAATTCTACTAGGAGATTTAGCCTACCTTAAATACTCAGTCAACGGGATATTATTTATTGGAGTCAGATATTGAGGACATTAGCCGCAACAAGCCATTAACCCAAGTATATTTATTCAAAAAAGTAGATGTAACTGTGATACTAATGGATTGTAATTGGTTTTATGAAACCACAAGGAAGTAAAAAAATATTTTCGAATTACTACTACTACTGCAGTGAGCAGAACACGGGTGGGGACAATCGAATTGTAATTAGAACAAAACCATACTATAATACTTAATTTGCAAAATGTTCAATAATTGTCTCGAACTTCATTGTTCTTGCATTTCCATACTAATTGTTTTCTATTCCCGCTCTTCCTTTCCTGATCTTCCCCATCTTCTGCTACCAGACATTACATTCCTGAATCTCGTCATATACTACTTATATCAATATAAGTAGCACGCACCACACTACTACTACTATTACTACTACTACTACTACTACTAATAATAATAATAATAATAATAGTGACTTCTCAGGAATAGTGGACGGTAATAATCAAAGTGTAACTCTTAAAAATATACCAATAAGATTAGTTTAGTTAACATTTAAAGAGTTTGTAAACAAAAAGATCTATGTGTTTTACACTGAGATAATGTTATTTCGAATAGTTGCTTACTAATATGTATAAAGTTTATAATGATTAATTTCAATGTATGTAACATTTTAACCATATTGTTTATTGAAGTGATAATTTGTTAGAAAACATTACTAGTTTGAACTTGAGGATTCTATCTATATTATTAATTTATAATTTATTTATTTATTTATTTATTTATTTATTTGAACACATAAATATTGGTACAAGAGAGCGCCAATATATATGCGCCACACAAAACAATGAGAATTCGAAGAGAAAAAAGGTAGGGAGCGTAAAAAAAAGAGAACAATAACGAAGAGATTGGTGTAAGGTAGTGTAGTAATAATGAGGGAACGGAAAGGTACAATCAGAAGAAATCTTTCAGTTAAGGGAGACACAACCACTTTTAATG